CTATTCTATTCTATTCTATTCTATTCTATTCTATTTTCCATATTCCATATTCCATATTCCATATTCTATTCTATTCTATTCTATTCTATTCTATTCTATTCTATTCTATTCTATTCTATTCTACACTACTCTACTCTATTCTATTCATAGACACCATCGATGGTCATTCTAAAGCTCTCTGAGCAAGACGGGAGAAACAAAGGTTGTAGAGGGGAAAAAAAACACCTTGGGGAAATCAGAGAGATTTCAGCTCTATGTGGCTCTATTCTGTTGCAGCTAAATTAAAATTAAATGTCTTTCTGAATTATCTTTTCAGTGAAAGTCCGAGTCTATTCGCTGAATGAAGAACTGAGGCCGGCTCGGCGTGCAGCTGTCTTAACTTTTGTGGTTAGTCCACCCCTTACTAAATCTCAGTGTGTCTTTATTTACATTGTAAGCCTAAGCCAAACAGAACAATATAGGGTAAAAAAAAATTATCTGCTTAATATCTATGGAGATTCTCAGTCATCCAAGACATGGCTGTCCCAAAAATGCTTTTTCAAGCACTTTCTTGGTTTTCCCCCTGGACTTTCCTTCTTTTTTTAAAAAAAATATGTTTTATTAATTTTTTAACATAATCATCTTAATATTCGGTAGAGAGTGCATTGTCTGGTTTACATTGAACGAACATTCACTAACAATTAAATTCTATAACCTATAATCCACACGATAACTTCACATGATTTCCTCTTTTCCCCATAGTGTCCTCTTTTACCAACCTTAAGTTAATACAATTCTTATTGTTTTCATAAATAATAATTAAGCATAAAATTTTTCTAATATACAAATAATAATCACAACGATATAGTATTCCTTTTCTATCTAGTCGTTCTGGTTGTCTCATCGTATGCTCTGTTTCCAGTTCTTGTTTACATTTGTTTTTCCCACAGTGTTCTCAACATTTTTACTGGTTGAGATTTTCTCAAGAGTTAATTACATTTAAATATTTAAATCTATTTTTTTCTCATGTAAGCCAACCCAATACTTTTACCTTTCTTAAGGAATAAATAAGACTACAAAAAGAGAGAAGAAGGATGGGAATAAGAAAAAACTGGACTTTCCTTCTTCAGTTCTGAAAGTATAACTGGAAAGTCCACTTAACTTTTGAAAAAGCACTTTTGGGATTAAAAAAAAAAAGCACTTTTTTTGAAAAAGGTGTTCTACATTGCAACAGAAATGAATAGTGTATCATCCCTCAGTCAAAACTCCACAAAGGTCTTGTGCTATTTTTCAAAACGCTCTTTTGTCTCCCACAATAAAGGATCCAGGTGAGGTAGAAGTGGACATCATACGGGAAGATGACGCTACAGGAATCATCTCGTTTCCCGAATTCAAAATTCCTCCCTATCCCAAGTAAATCTATTCACATTTTAAATGTCAGGAAGTAAAATATTCATTTGCAAGCGAAATGTAGAAACACGGCAGTGAAACAAATTTGTGGTGCTCTGTGAGCTGGGTGGGTTTTCCTGCAGGCCACAAGGTTTCTGTCGCTAAGCCGAACATCCGTTAAGTGAATTTTGCCCCAGTTCACGACCGTTGCTAAGGGAGTCACTGCAGCTGTTTGCTTGCAAAAGGGGAATCATGTGACCCCGGAAACCGCGACCGTCATAAATATGAATCAGTTGCCAAGAAACTGAATTTTGATCAGGTGATGCTGCAAGGGTCGTAAGTGTGAAAAATGGTCATAAGTCACTTTTTTTTTCAGTGCCACTATAATTTTGAACAACTTGAACAACCAACTGTTGTAAGTCGAGAATTACCTTATTAATTAGGCTCTGCCTGTTTTGGCAACGAGGCTGTAATCCACGCCTATATTAGTCCGATTTTATTAAAGCTTTCGTCTTGCAACCTTCCCTGATGACCTGGTTACATGCAGGGGCGAAATAACCAGCATCCACAGCCTAGTCACACGACTGACTGGGCTGTGGATGCTGGTATGTGAATTCCTGCATCCAAATTAAGAAAACGAGCAGAAGGAGAAATGGGAGTTATTTAAAACCCGGGCTGCAAAGCATTTAAATGACCACCAGATGGCAGCAACGCATTAGATTTTGAATTCCGGCTCAGTTTTTGGAACAGAGAAAGAAGAGAAACAATGCAAAAAAAAAAAAAAAAGACTATTTAAACATCTACAATTATTTAACTCCATTATGGAATGTCTTGTTATTTAACTTATCTTTTTTTTATTATTTTAGGTTTGGTGTTTGGACCATTAAAGCCAAGTATGATAAAGAATTCACAACCTCTGCCGTAGCGCAATTTCAAGTCAAAGAATATGGTAATGTCAAAGTTTTTTACTGGGCTATTACAGGGCTACACATATTCATGCCGTGATTAGCATCATTAGATATTTTATCTCACTTTTTTCATATATACAACACAAGGTGGTGGACATGCCTAATGTTTCTCTGCCTTCTGTTTTCCCCATAACTATCCTGCGAGGTGGGTCAGGCAGAGGAAGAGGCTGTGATGAAGAAATTTGATTGTTGGGGGCAGTTTTAGAGAAAACACTTGGGGGGAAATAATATGAATTTCAGCTGATGTGGCTTGGAAGCAAGAGAAGCTAATTTCCTCCTGCAAGATGCCAATTTTGCACCATTTTAAGCTAAGGAGAAGCATTTTGCACCATACACATTTCTTAGGGCCCAGCAGATAAACAGATATTTT